GCAATGTCGCAGCTGCTGGGGGGCGCTAGCCCGTTTGTCAGGGAGACGGAGCGGAGGAGCGAGACAATAAGACTAACGCACACCACCGCTCACAACGCACTCCGGAGGATTTATACCAATTGCGGGCCACCACACCCACCAACGGCAACTTCGAGACACATAAGTAGCGTTTCATCAAGTGTCGTTATTTAGAAGGCTTTCACTCAACATTAGGTACGCGTTATCAACCCGCTGCAATACGCAAGCCACCAGCTCTGCCTCTACCCTTCCGTGTCAATCAAGATGACCTTGACAAAGTTCAGGCAGGGCAGAGCATGACGGGCCCGGACGGAACGGACGGCGGCGCTGCGGCCGCGACCGGCGACTGCGGGAAGCACATACCCCGGCCGGCGCGCCTGCCGCGTCCGGGACGGACGGCCAGTGACGGATGATGGTGACGGATGACCAGTGATGGACGACCCTCAATCACACCAGAGACCCTCCATCTCGCCAGGACACGGCGGCAGAGCGATGGCGACGGGACACGCAGCCCCGTCACGGAACCGGCGCGGCGCCCGCTCCCCGCCGGCAGGAAACTCGTGAGGTGACCAAAGGTCGACACGCACTACGCCTAAGGTCATCGCCAGTCGTCGCTTCGGAATTAAGAATAAACAACTGAGTCGCACATCACCTAATGAGCTAGGGAGGCTCTGCGAAGTGGAATTCAAACTCTGTGAATAAGTCGAGTGTGTTCGGCTGTCCGGCCATTAGATGGTGGACGGTGATATTGGACCGCAGCCGCCGCGATCTCGTGCGCCGAGATCTCAATCTCCAGCGCCAGAGCCGTTTATTTTGGGCGCACGGTATCCTGACCTCTGGAGAATGCGCCGCCGGCGGCTCCCTGTTATTGTTGTTGGTTCAGGGCGCGTGGCCGATACCGGCGGCTCCCTCCACGGAGAGGGAGAGGAGGGAACGCGCTGCGAACAGCGCACAGGTTCGGAAAGGGAGCGCCCTGGATACTGCCGAGCCGACCGGCAGACAGAACTCGCGAGTCGCAGTTACACCGCACCTGGCCCCAATGAGTGCAGTCATGTGGCAACGAGAGCCGAAATTCTGGAGACGAGGCGGACTTCAATGCCGCTGCCTAGCCGATGCGACAACAACCCAATCAAAAGAACAGCCATTGCTGGGCGGCGAGGACTGCTTGGTAAATGAAAGCTATTGAAAGGTTGATAATTATCCGGTTCGGCGCTGTCCCCACTGCCCGGTCCATAGTTAACGCACTTAGTGACTTAGCACTTAGTGACAGACAGACAGACAGACAGACACACGACAGGCGCACACTTGCACTATTTCGAACAGACGGATCTAGACTGGGGGCTGGAGCATGGCTTCAACAGGAGGGCGTCCGCTCCGGCGATGGCTTGGACTGCTGAACTGTGGCCCAGAGCAGGCATGGCCGTCGGCCGGGTACTTCACCACAGATCCTCCGAGACCTGCCTCCAATCCTACAGCTGTATCGCCAGCCAGAACGAGAGCCAGAACTGAGAGCCGACCACAGGAAAACAGTAAAGAACCGGGACGACAGCAGTCAGTCCAGCCTGCGCGTCCCGCTCGGCTGGCCATAGCCCCACAGTGTTACCATTCGCCACGGCTACAGTAACGGAGACGCGAACTCCGCCCTGGATGGCATGCCATCCCTCCAGTTATCCCGCCGGTCCGTAGGTACCGGCGACGATGGGTCAGGGTGATAGGGCGGGACCAATAACAAAACAGAGAATACCGAGGGCGCAAATACCACCAACGCCTCCTGAGACGCACAGGACGCAGCCTTCAGACGTAGTTGCATCAGCCTGGCTTCATTATGACGTCGGACACCCCACAGCTCTGGAGCAGAAGGCCAGCAGTCGACGACGGCGGCAAATAGAGACTGCGACGAGCCGGTGACAGCAGCACCTATCGGCGACTGCAGCGTCCGAGCATAACACTAACACCAATCAGTGACTGCAACGGCTGAACGCCACACTAACACCAATCAGCGATTGCAGCGTCCGAGCATAACACTAACACCAAGCAGTGACTGCAACGGCTGAACACAACACCAACACCAACCAGTGATTGCATCTGAACACCACACTGACACCAAACGGCGACTGCAACGGCCGACACCACACCAACACCAATCAGTGACTGCAGCTGAACGCCACACTAACACCAATCAGTGACTGCAACGGCCGAACACCAACACCAATCAGTGACTGTAACGGCCGAACACCACACCAACACCAATCAGTGACTGTAACGGCCGAACACCACACCAACACCAATTAGTGAATGCAACGACGGAGCACTGCACAACACCAATTAATGACTGCAGCGGCCGCACACCACGCTAACACCGACCAGTGGCTGCAGCGGCCGAACAAAGCACAACACCAATCAGTGACTGCAACGGCCGAACAAAGCACAACACCAATCAGTGACTGCAGCGGCCGAACAAAGCACAACACCAATCAGTGACTGCAACGGCCGAACAAAGCACAACACCAATCAGTGACTGCAACGACCGAACAAAGCACAACACCAATCAGTGACTGCAATGGCCGAACGCCCCACAACATATTACACGAATAAGAGACTGCAACGACTGAGCACCACTTAACACCTGCCGGCGACTGAAACGTCCGAGCATAGCACTAACACCCATTAACCCTCGCCCGTAAACGGTGTTTTGCCACCTTCGCCCATGCAGGGGGGGGGGGGGGTTGGTGCGACCCCCCTGGCGTTTGAAAACGGAGCGTCGTAGAGCTTAGCGGAAAAGACCAACGGATTGCTCTCAACGAGATCTCGCGATTGGTGGTATATTTTTTTTGTCCTAGGTCAACATTTGACCTACTTATGAGTCTATGACCGGTCAAAGGTCAAATTTTCGGAAAAATCTAACTTTTTCAGATTTCCGCGCCGATTGCGGCAAAACGGTAAGAGATATCGATTTGAAACCTTCACTATCGTGATCCTTGATCATTGATCAATTCTCTATCGTTTGGTGTGTATTTCCATGTCATAACTCTAAAAATGATGCGTTGGGAGCATCGGAAGGCTGGAAGGTCATTTGTGCATTGGGTCACGTTAGGCATGTGACGTCACTGACCTGACCCTGACCCAAAATGAACTCCAAGAAACAACCGACGATGCCTGAAATGGATAGCAAATTCGAATTCAGGGCATCCAAATACCCCGAAAAGGCATACAAGTGCAAGAAGTCATTACAGGTCAACCGAGGTCACTGACCTGACCTTGACCTTTAGTAACCTTGAAAAGGTCAACGGACATTGTGCCAATGTCAAATCAGCCAGTTATGATTCTAAAACAATCCATCAGTGTGTCAGGTCAGTCGGCATTTATACCAATGTGAAGCAATCTCCAATTTGGCGTAAATCTGGCCGGAGGTTGTTCCCTTTATGACGTCATAACTCCGTGACCTGACATGACCTTGACAAAAAAAAAACAAAAGTTGCGCAAAGGATGACCCATAGGGTACTGAAAATTTGAGCAGGCTATCTGAAACGGTTCGGCGTGTAGCTAAGAAAAACCTCAGGGGGGTTGCACCAACCCCCCCCCCCCCTACATGGGCGAGGGTTAAAGACTGCAACGGCTGACCACCACACTAGCACCTACCGGCGATGGCAGCGACTACAACAATTCAACGGTGGAATGCAACGGCATACTACACCAGTCACGATCACAGCGCTCGGCCCACATCACGGCAGCGATAACCTACTTCGAACATGTCTGCTGGAAATGAAGCGCCTCTTTAAGCTTTTTTTTGTCTGAGCGGGGGTTCAAAATTGTAACGCTGCGGGGGCAACGAGTAAAAAATATTTTTTACGCTTTGGCTTGCGGGTAAGGCAAAAGGACGAGACAGGACGGCCGCGCCTGGGACTGAAAGGGACGGCTTAATTCGTGGGACAGACAGGGTGGGACGGGGCGGGACAGGCAGCAGCTCCACAGCGGACAGGGTGGGACAGGACGGGACAGGTCAGGGCGGCCGCGTCTGGGACTGGAGAGGACGGCCGCAACTCCGACTGGGGGCGAACGGACAGCCTCACAGACGGCTCAGAATGGTACTGGGAACACGCCATATTGGCATTGCAATATTGGCATTTGCGTGCGGAACTACGTTAGCAAGCATGTAGCCGGGCCAAGGCGGCCAACGTTGAATGGAATGTAAAAGCGATACATGACAGCCCCCTTACATCCTTCAACAACAAAGCTAAGAGCAATCAGTGGCGTGATTACTTATGAGCAGTAGAACAGAGATATTTTTGGCGTGAGTTCGTAGTTTTTATTTCGCTTCGCGACACCTAAAACTTTGATATAATTATTTGAGGACTCACTGGGAAAAGGAGTGCAAAAAACAAATTTCCCTGGGTGGATACTTTCACTAGCGTCCAACTGGCGTCTAGCTGAGCAGACGTCCAAGTTGGCGTCTAACTTGGCGTGGACGGAGACTTCCAATCTAGACGCGTCTAAAGTTAGCAGTCGCCAGCTAGGCGCAGTCGCCGTCCAGCTAGACGCGTCAAAGACTTAGACGCGTCTAGCTAGACGCGAAATGGAAGTCTCCACCCTAATGTTTTAGGATTCGCGTAAAACACGATGAACACTGAACAGCATGCTTGATTATACTGAAAACAGTACGCAATGTGAATGTCATTGCACGATTGGATATGGGCAGTATGGGAGAGATTGCACAATTCAACAGTGCATGACAATGCTCATTGGAAGCATGACAAATGCTAATCCAAGTGTAGCATGAATGAATGAAATAATGCGTACAAATGTGGACGGGCGAAAACAGGTTAAATTCTTAGAAATGAACAGATTACGAACAACTGAGAACAACTGAGATGAAAGATGAACGAAACCATGCCCCAAATAAGCATGCTGAAGTCAATTCCATTTTAGTGAGTGTGTCTAGCCAGGTCAGTATGTCACGTATGTCAGCGCGAAAGAGTATCCGGTTTAGCTGCCTGATTGTATATTGGTAGTTCATTGACGCCACACTGCACTCACACCAGTACCTATACATTTCCACAGTTTGTACTCAGGTGGCGGGTTCACGCAAAGCGAACCTGCCAGTATATGGGAGCAGCTGGAAGGTAAATGGCTATGGAGAAATGTAACAATGCCTTTGTGACACGATCCCTCATGTAACACCGTATCAGTCAACAGTTCAGATTGCAGGGCTAATCCTGGCTCCCACCCAAACCGGCACCATAGGTATACTTAAGAGTTCCATAGGTTAACACATTGTGATGTCCTGAATTGGTAAAGCATAATAGATGTATCTCTCAAGCCAATAGCAGCGATAGTAAAAATATAATTGTATCTCCGCTAACAGTGTTTGCTCCAATGCAGATACAGCCGCTATACTTATGAATGCTTAAATAATCAGAGAGGAAGATAGAAATGCTAGCCCAGTACTACAATACGCACAGACGCCGGTATATTTTAAATACATGCACTGCGTATCAATTCACAACAGCAACAAGGCATGGGTCGATACAAACACATCTATGGATATATCATATTATGATTGCACGCCGCCGGGCGGACGACTGGCCGCGTCTCCGCGCTGTTCCGTCTCAGCGGAGGGCGGGGGATGGCGGGTGAGCCCCTAGCACCCGACCCCACCCACACCCAGGCACACACACGGCAGTCGCCGGCCGGCGGCAGCCCCCGAACCCCACAGCCCGGCCCCGGCCACACACCCGTCCCGTATCATCACAGCTGCGCCGAGAGCGGACCGCCAGTCCGCACCGTCGGCGCCGGGAGAGTGTGACAGGCACACTGTGGACCCGCCACAGCGACTGTGAACCCGCCACAGTGAGCGGCGAACTGTGACCCCTCACAGCGACCGGGTGGGCTGTGAATTCTCACAGCTACCGGTGAGACGGGGACCATCACAGGCGGCCGGCGCACTGTGGACCCCTCAGAGCGACCGTTGAAACGGAGACCATCACAGCGACCGGCGCCATCAGTCACTGGCAGTGTCTAACCGGGGAAATGAGGCGAGACGACTTGGCCCTTCCCCGTCCAGTGTCCCCACTCCCCACACCGCCCTCAGACCGGCCCGGACCCGCCGGCCGGAGCCGTCCCGCGGCCCACCGCACCGGGGCTGACCTAGAAGACGGGCGAGCTGAGTATGAAGACGCGCCGCTCGTGGTCCTTGATCCACCGCAGCAGCCGGTTCATCTCGGTGATGGAGGTCTGCTGGCTGACATGGGGGTCGAACACGGTGTACAGCTCGAACCCGGGACTCACCTGAGGGAGAGGGCAGAGACATAGCCGTCAGACGGGAGCTGGTGGGACAGGACACAGCCGTCAGACGGGAGCTGGTGGGGGAGGACACAGCCGTCAGACGGGAGCTGGTGGGACAGGACACAGCCGTCAGGGGGAGCTGGTGGGGGAGGACACAGCCGTCAGACGGGAGCTGGTGGGAGAGGACACAGCCCAGTCAGACAGGAGCTGGTGGGAGAGGACAGAGGACACAACCCCGTCAGGCGGGAGCTGGCGGGGGAGGACACAGCCGTCGTGGTGGCGGCAGCTGAAGAGAGGAGAGTCCGCGTTTTGGAGGCACTTCGCCCCCTCCGTCGAGGGGGGCATCGACCCCGCGGGCAGGGGGCCTCCATGGGGGGGGGGGGAGCTGGTGGGAGAGGACACAGCCGTCAGGGGAAAGCCGGTGAGAGAGGACAAAACTCTGTCAGACGGGAGCTGGTGGGAGAGGACATAGCCCTGTCAGACGGGAGCTGGTGGGAGAGGACAAAGCCCTGTCAAACGGGCGCTGGTGGGAGAGGGCAGAGGGGCAGACGGGCGCTAAGATGGGAGAGGAGAGTACGGTGGGCGGAAGATCATTGACAGCAACAGGCTACCGATGGCCTGTCAGTGTCACACTGTAACAATGTAACTCAGCCCAGAGTAGCGCAGGACAGCGTGACACATATTGCCTTAGGGCAACAGGGGGTAATTCACGATAACACCAGTTAAATCCAAAGGCACTCGGGGTAACAGTCAACTAACTACTTTATATTTGTGCCGCCTTTCTATGCAAAACATTTTAAAGGCTGAAACAGAGTGTCGGCAGTCATGACACCGCACGCGAGAGCTTTTCAAATATATGACTTCTCGCTCGCATCAACTGCATGCAACTCCGTGCGTGCAATTGATGCGAGCGATATCTAAGGTATTTGAATAAGATCTCGCATGCGATTTTGTGACTGCCAAAGTGTCCATTTCCAGGTTTTAGGACCTTGTCAATTACTATAGCAGTATTGCACATCTACAGAGCGGCCATTTATTTACGCCTGTCTGAGCCAGAAGTCTATAGGTACCTAAGGTCTCATGCTGACGGTCCATTAGGTAATTACTCCACCTAACCAGCCAGCCGCGCCGTCCCTCTCCTCCACGCGGTGGGGCAGAGTCTGCGGGCGGCGCTGATTGGCGGAGAGCGGCGGAGCTACCTCTGCAGGGAGTGGTGGAGGGCGGAGCCAGTCGCCGACCCGAGCGCCCTGCCCGGAGCCGGCGCGGCCCACGGGAACGTTGGGGTTGGGGTAAACACGCCGTCAAACAAAATGGCAGGGACGACCGACCGATGCTCGGCGAAATGGGTTCTGAACATCCCTCAGCTCAAAATTAGGGAAAATATACAATAAAAATCGACAATAGGAGATAGTCATTAAATTGAGCAAGGATTGGCAGAGCAAAGGCGCTTGCGGCTTATTTTAACGGCATTTCTGTGACTTTCTACGATTTTTCAAACATAGGTCATTTTTTGTCCAAAAGTGGGAAATCATGAAGTCACTAAAATTTCAAGGTCTCAAAAACTTTTGGGACTGATTTTTTCCAGCTTTGTCACAATGTACAATAATAAATGCACAGCACAAGTTGGTGCGCCGTTTCTGAGCTAAGGCGTGGCGAAAATGTGAGGGCGTTTTATGCTCTCAGCAAGTCGCGGGCTTCAAGAAGAATCCAGTTCATGAATCCACTCAAAACGATTCAGAAACTACAGATATGTCGGCTTGATTTAGAAGTTCCGGTAACATGTTCGTAAATACATTAAGGCAGTGGTCGGCAGGTCATTCGGGGTTATGCCCCCTTTTTAGGCGCCAGGCAGGGCCATTACCCCCACCTATCAGACCCCATTGCTGACACAACCAAGTTTACTGAAATTCCATACCATTCTGGAACTCTTTGGGTATTTCTGCATTTCCGATGCATCAAATTTAAAACATGACACTTCCTCCCAGGGGCGTAGGCAGGGGGGGCCACTGGGCCATGGCCCCCCCCTTGGGCGCCGAAGGCGCCCTTTGCGATTGGAGGGCGCCGAAGGCGCCCTCCAATCGCAAATGCAATTGTGATATAATCGAATCGAAAAACAATCGCGACTGGAGGGCGCCCTCCAATCGCGAATGTGTTTACAGGGAAAATACGGATGGAGGGCGCCCTCGGAGGACGCCCATTCCAAATACGCCCTCCAAATACGGTTGGAGGGCTCCCTCGGGCGCCCTCCAACCACATTTGTAGGCTGTAGCTCTCTAAGCGTAACGGTGGTCGCCTATGTAAGCCGCTGTCCCGTAAATAAGCGCCCTCTCACCCGAAGGCGCCCTCCTGTAGGTCGCCACCCTGCTACATATTGCCGCCCTTCTGCTGATCGGCGTCCTCATAATTATTGGCGCTCTCCTACCTATTGCCCCCTCATGTGAAATTTTCAAGGCCGCCTTTCTCCTTTTTGGCACCCTATTGTTCAGTGCCGCCCTCCTACCTATTGGTTCCCTAGTCCTTCCTGTTGAATGTTAATCGGGGCCCTTCTCTTATTGGCGCCCTCGTGTTGATCGCCGCCCTCCTAACCACTGGCAGTTGGCACCCTCCTGTTGATCACCGCCCTCCTATCCACTGGTACCTGCCTGTTGACCAGCGCCCTCCGCACAGACGCCCTCCTGTTCGTGTCATCCTCTTGAGCAAAGGCGCCCTCCTCACCATTGCCACCCCCATTTTAATCGTCACCCTTCCGCTCATTAACGACTTCCAGTTGATGACCGCCCTCCCACCTATTGGCGACCTCTTGTTGATCGCCACCCTCCTATTGGTGCTCTCCTGTTCCTCGCCACCCTCTTACCTGGTGGCGCCCTCCTGTTGATTGTTGATCGGGGCCCTCCTACCTATTGGTGCCCTCCTGTTGATCGCTGCCCTTCTATCCGTTGGCGCCCTCCTGCTGCTCGCCAACTTCCTACCTATCGGTGCCCTACTATCGAAACTCGGGATGTTGATCGGGGCTCTCCTACCTATTAGCGCCCTCCTGTGGATCGCAGCCCTTCTACCTATTGGCAACATCCGTTGATCGCTGCCCTCTTATCATTTATTTACTCCTTTGGCATGTTTTTCAACTTAGTCGTTCTATTGCACATAGTTGATGTCTTGCCTGTGAAAACTGCCACAAATGAACGTGCATTCAGCACAATGAATGAAGTACCTATACCTACCAAAACTATCTACGCTCTACGATGCATAAGACACGTCTTTGGTCTTAACGGATTGATCCTACTTTACGTGCATCATGGCATCTATGTATATGGATTACGATTAAGTATTGTCAATAGGTTCGGCCGCAACAGCAGGCATCTGAAGTTTCGGTGATTGAAACTGGTTATGTGGGTACACTGTATGCATCTGTGAGAAGGCTATGAAGGCTGGTCTGAGGTAATTTGGATGATGTTTACGCATCTCGCGCTCCGGTATCAATCCGATACGGTGATCTGGTGCGTAGATATGCCACCGCCAATAAACTTTTATACATCGACACCCATGAGCCAAGCTTTCTATACAGTTTGTGTGGCAGCGGCCCGACCAAACCTTAGGTATTTTTTACACCTTCAAATTTGGTAAAAGAGCGAGAGGAGCTTTGAACGGTGATCGTATAAAAGGCGTGCCTAAAAAGCGGAGGAAAAGGTTGTTTTCAAAAATTTCGCGCGCCTTCGGCGCAGCATTTCAAGAACACTTGACCTTTTGTGACCTGGAGTATAAAGAATACACACGATGCAAAATCAATGCAGCACGACCTATACGAGGTTACGCAAAAAAAAAAACTGGTGGCATGGTAAAAAACGCCTCCCAACCCCCCCCCCCCCACCCCGCTGAGCGATTTTTTATCTCGCGACCGTATGGCGCCCTCCTTGGGTGAGGTGGCGCCCTCCAAACCCTTGGCCCCCCCTTCGCGATTTTCTAAATACGCCGCTGCTTCCTCCACAAAGCATTTAATATATCCCATTTAACCCTCGTACATATACAGGGGCAGCGGCTGGTTTTTCATTAAAAGCTCACGTAAAAGCCGTTGGGTCACGACCAAATTGTACCCTCGAGCCAATAATTTTTTTTTTCTTTACCTGCCCGCGAAAACCTGAGGCCAATTTTACCAACAGAAAAATAGCCGCCTGCCGGAGTTTTTGCTGCATATACGATGAGCATGCGCTTCACATACGATGAGTAAGCGCGATGAGCATGTAAGTGGATAGGGCTTTATTGCTTACCGTATTTACGCTTTACCGTATGTGAAGCGGTCTTTAGGCGAAAAATTCCGGCAGGCGGCTATTTTTCTGTCGGTAAAGTGGCCTCTGGACCCATAATGATCATGATTGGGTTATGAGCTTTTTCTGGAGATCATCTTGAGCCATAAAATCTCACTTCAAGAAGTTATAGCGGGTCCCGATTTTCTCGACACTTGTCTTTGACCTCCTGAATGAGACGAAATGACCAAGAACCTTAAAAATGGGCAGCAGCGGCTTCCTAGAGTCACGGGTAATACGCTCGTTTTTTTATGCACAGCTCCATCTCAGAGTCTAAGAGGCCGCGGGGGTCCGATCGACTCCTCCCCCTTACGTTAGCGGCTATGGAAAAGCCAACAGACGGGCGACGGTTAAAAATTGCAGCTGCTTTTGTACGACTGTACGGAGCCGCTGTGAGATGGTGAGGCGAGCAGCTACGTGAAAATTGGTATCTAATCAATGTGTTCTGTGCCTTTGACCTGGGCTAATCTTTGAACCCTGGGATGCAACAGTCACGATGGTTCCATCAATGGAGCCACTAACTCTAAAAAGACAAGTTTTCTCAGAATCCCTCATTACCCCCACCGAAAGGGCTCCATTACCCCCAAAGGGGGCATGCCCCACCGTTTGCCGACCCCTGCATTAAAGGGACCATCCCACCTTCACAAAAGTACCATTTAGGATTCGGAAATGTTCCTCATGATATTGTGACGAATTCTGCAAGATTTTACGCGTTTTCATTGTATACTTTTTGAGATATTGCGACTTTTATATTTTATCGTGACGTCATTTAGATCGGATCTGTGACGTAATGAAGGATTTACTTCATGTCAATGTGGGGGAAATTTGGCAGCAAATATAGGTATTTGCTCTCAAATATGACGCGGCTCATACAATAACAAGTGTCTCTGATTAGCTTATTCGTAAATCAAGTGAAACTTCTTAATGCGTGACAGGCGTTCAAAATGCAAATGACGTCATCAAATGGCCGTTAATAGTTAAGAGATAGGGCCTTAGCTAAGGCCCACTTTTCAAATGAAGGGAACGAATTTCTTTAACACCACGAAACTGAGGATATTGCGACCAGGATATATAGTGGTTTCTGAACCTGGCCGCCAACTTGGCTATCTCAACTCAGAACTAATGCAAATGTGGGACTCCGTGGGACCTGTGGGACTCCCTTTAACTCCGGGTTGATTGTTTTATACTACGCCTGACAGACATTAATCACAGTAGCACCCCGGAATCACCGGCGCCGGGCCGCCAGCCGCGCCTCTGATCGGGTCCAGCCCTCGGATGGGTTTATTTGTAACCCACGACGTAACACCCCGCCGCAGCCGCCCCTCTCGGCGCGTGCGTCAGCGACGGGCACCGGTCGGCGGCGGGCTGGGTGGGCCGGCCGTCAGCCGTTCCCACCGGGTGACGGGTGTACTTACATACCAAGGACGGCCGACCGGGCCAGGGGCACCCCTGCTGAACCAGCTCCGACCGTGCTACACAGACTACGGCTGAACCAGCTCCGAACGTACTACACAGACCACGGCTGAACCAGCTCCGACCGTACTACACAGACTACGGCTGAAACAGCTCCGAACGTACTACACAGACTACTGAAACAGCTCCGACCGTATCATACATTACACAGTACACTGACTACTGAACCAGCTCCGAGCGTATCATACACTACACAGTACACAGCCCGCTGAACCAGCTCCGACCGTAATACACAGACTACTGAACCAGCTCCGACCGGTAATACATACACAGTACACAGCCCACTGGACCAGCTTCTACCGTACTACACAGCCTACTGAAGCTCCGACCGTACTGTCCAACCTATTGAACCAGGTCCGACCGTACTGCACAGCCTGTGTAGTACAACCAGCTCCGACCGTAATCAGTCTGCTGGAGCCCCCCTGACAGCCCGCTCCTGGAGCTCCAGCCCCACCCCTTTAGCAGCACTCCGCCCGGCCACTGCCCCCTCCCGTCCCCCGCGCAACACTCACCCATCCCACGACGAGCTCGTGGCTGCCGGCGAAGTAATAGGTCTTGAGCGGCCGGGCCGGACTGTGCACCCGGCCGTGCACTATGTGATAGAGGGCGTACAGCCGCCGCCGACCCTCCGGCGAGCCGTACACCATGCTCGGGGACGGACACGTGCTCTGAGCCGTCGACTTGCACTTGTACATGAAGTGTCGCATGTTGAGCACGCCTGCCGACGGGGACGGGAAGCACAGTCAGCGGGGAGCTCACAGTACCCGGGGCGGGGAGCAGGGATAGGCGGGGAGCACGGATAGGCGGGGAGCTCACAGGACCCGGGGCGGGGAGCAGGGATAGGCGGGGAGCAGGGATAGGCGGGGAGCTCACAGGACCCGGGGCGGGGAGCAGGGATAGGCGGGGAGCAGGGATAGGCGGGGAGCTCACAGGACCCGGGGCGGGGAGCAGGGATAGGCGGGGAGCAGGGATAGGCGGGGAGCTCACAGGACCCCCAGACGGGGAGCACAGTCAGCCGGGAGCTCACAGGACCCGGCGGTGGGGAGCAGGGATAGGCGGGGGGCGGGGATAGGCGGGGAGCAGGGATAGGCGGGGAGCTCACAGGACCCCCAGACGGGGAGCTCAGTCAGCGGGGAGCTCACAATATCCGGGGCGGGGTGCAGGGGTCAGCGGGGAGCTCACAGTACCCGGGGCGGGGAGCAGGGACACACCGGGGAGGGGAGCTCACGGAACCCGGGGATGGGGAGCTCACAGAACCAGAGGACAGGAAGAAGGGGTCAGCAAGGATCTCACAGGACCCAGGCAGGAGGGCAGGGATAGGCGAGGAGCTCACAGGATGGGGCAGGGGTCAGCGGGGGATCACAGAAGCCGGGGATGGGGAGCAGAGGTAGGCGGAGAGCTCACATAAACCGGAAACCGGTGGGCGTGAAGGGAAGGACACATTTTGTCCCTACAAAAGAACTGACGGGAAATGTAACTAGTACCGATGGAACGAGTAGGGAATGGAAAGGGGCTGCCAGTTATTCTTTTGAGAAATAGCATACGAAGCTTTTGCTGACATCCTCAGCAACAGCATAAAGATGGTAATACCCCACGTCCCTCTGTTCACATCTACATACAGGATGAAATGCTTGGACACGAACGTGGAATGCTGATGACTCGCGGTGCCGAACAAATATAATATATGAATCCTTAAAATAATCCACTGTTGCCCGGTATGCCCGGTGCCAGCCGCGACAGGCGGAGCGGGAGACGGGCGGACAGAGATAATACCGACCGGTCTGCCCGTCCCCGATCGGACCTTGTGCCACTAACCCAGTCACATCAGTACGGCGGCCGGCGCCCGACCGCAGCCGGGACTCGACCTATCAGTGATCATTACCACAACAGATAATCTTCTCAGATCACTACCGCAGCCCGGACTCTGTTCAGATCACTACCTAAGCCCGGGAGTCAGGACTCTCCTCAGATCACTACCGCAGTCGGGACTCGACTTATCACTGATCACTTCCACAGCCGGGACTCTGCTCAGATCACTACCACGGCCAGGACTCGCAGATCAGTCAGATCAGATCAGTCGATCAGACGCAGCCGCCAGAGCTCAGAGGTATGACAAAGCGGACGATACATACCAAAGACGCCAGGACAGGCCGCACAGACGTCGGCCGACCCGACCCTGAGGGCGTGTCGAACCGGCCCAGTACGTGTGATTACATAACAACTGTGGCCCAAGCGCCGCCCACTCAGCCCGGGCCCGAGGCCGTACTATTTGAGGATATCCGGCCCGGCTGAAGGACTTCTCAGAAACGTCCGACAACCGGAAAGGTAGTGGCGGATACCATAAACAAACCATATACAGTTCCACTCCAGTACACATTAGTATAGCCAGTGTCCAACGTAGATAGATATCAGCCAGGTGTAACCCATTTTGATCCTCACGCAATGGCTCAGACTGGTAATGTAACCAGCACGCAATGAGTCTTATGTGCGGCGGCGCCTGAATTGAGAGTCGATGATGGTATGACGGGTACCGGGTACAGGCTAGCCCACAGTCCACGCCCCAGCGTGCCGGTATGCGGACACTCTATCTTTCTGTAGTTATACGATGGAGTGGAGGACACATGACTGTAGCATTTTAAACGTAATAACTCCACGGCAAAAAATTACATATATGGTTATGGAAAACAATGGATTCAGTGGTGTATTAAGTTTCAGTCGTGTCACTTTCAAGTTGTAGCTTGACTAAAATTGACAATAAAAATAACTTCCAATGTATTGTTATACGAGGCGAGTCTATGGCGAGTCTTATCAGCACATAAAGCTGCTAAATTCAAAAGGGTGAATAGGTACCTATAGGTTGAGGAATTGTGAATCAGGTAAATGATGACATTCGAAAATTTGTTTACATAAAACATCTTCAGGGTCCTCCAATTTTAGTCCTGATATCAAATGGATTAGGAATGCTTAATTGCGTATCCGTGTTAGAGCGAATCACAGTTTCGTCGTTGTGCACACATGGCCGTGTTTTGACATTGCTCGACATGTATACCGGGCTATACGGTTTGGTGGCGTGGACCTACCTGTCTCCTGGACGGGATAATCTCCATTTTCTATCGCCGCAGCGATCTGCTGCGCTGTGCCGTTCTGGTGCAGCCTCTGCAACATAAAGGGGAGGCAGGTGAGACAGCGGGACCCAACGCCGCCATACCGCCAATGGCGTTACGCCAACAACGTCCACGACTCATTCCGATGTATGTACAACTGGTGGTGGGATATCAAAGTCTTCGTGACACCCAAAACCAAGCGGCACCACGGCGGGACAGTCTGCGCCGCTCAGCCCGTGCTCTATCCCGACCCACGCCTACACCAGCCATACGTTACAGCGAGAACACGGCAGGGAAAAAGCTGATCTCATCCGGAAGTCGCTTGTGATGTAGGTCACCGCGGTGACAGCAAAAAGGCGCCCGGTGACCTGTCCTGGTGCAAAAACTGGCCCCGCGGCGCCCCTCCGAGCTACCTACCGTGCTCGGCTACTAGCAGTTACCGTTGGCTCGGCGCGCGGCGGCCGGCCGGTCCCCCGAGGGCAGGCAGACGGGCGGCGGCCCGCACAGGGTCGGCAGCCGGGCCCAATACGGGCGCGGAGCCCACCCCGTGGCGTCCGCCGGCTACCGCGGGTCATCGCTCGGTGGCAGCGACCGGCATAGTTCGGGATCCACAGTCTATGTTTATTAAATAATGGGATATGATTGACTGACGATGGATTGCTGGGATATTAAAATCTCTGGCGACAGGGCAATCAGTTACAGAAGGTACACATACTGTCGGACCCATTACGTAAGGATGATGGATGAAAACGAGAGCTCAACTGTGAGCCTTTTTCCGGCTGGCACTGGGCGCAATGCGTAGAAGCCCCCTCTAGTACTGGGGAGCGGTTTTTTACCACCTATGCTACTGTATATGGGAGGGCGGTGTAGCCCCACTCCGTCATCTGGCCTCTGGGTAGCGTAACTCCTCCCCATCAACTGGGGAGCCAGCATATCTCACCTGTGGTATCTGAGGAGGGCACGTAGCTCATTACCCTCATCTAAGAGAGCGTGCGAACCCACCAATGCCTCTTTGGAGAGCGCACGGCACTCACCTCAGTGATCTTGCTCTTGGCCTGGGCGAGCGCGTGGAAGCTCTCGCGATCAGCAGTGAGCAGAACAAGGCACGCCGGACACTCTTCCGATAAATAGCTCACGTAGGCATACATGAAGCCGCTGAAACACGGACAGCGGGAATTGGTCAGCGGTCACTGGTCACTCGTGGATGCACCGGTCACTGGTCACTGGTCACTCGTGAATACCGATGCCACTGCCATCTGATGCCATTTGAGCTATGAATGTCGGACCAATAATTTTAGATATCAAGTGTGCTGAAAAGCCCTTCCCTCACGCGCAAAGGCCTGGACAATGTCCAGGCCTATGTCCAGTGGATATAGCCCCACGGGGTCTGAACTAATATAACTCTAAATAGCCACGTTTAATGTTTATATAGGCCTTATGCCCACCAGCTGGCATTTCAAGGAATGTATTTATTGTCCAGCTAAACAGCCTCTCTTTTGGGAGATGAAAACATAGCCGTGACGTCAAACCGTGTTTTAGGCACGCACCTTGCCGTGTGAAAACATGGACACCTGTCAAAATGGATAGAAGCCATGCACGGGCGGCGCAAAAAGGTACTGAGAAATTCCAGACATCATGCATGCCTAACCTTCGGTGACTTGTAATTGGAGGAGTTATTTTTCTGAGCCTCGGCTGAAGTGGCAATTCTGAAACGATGAGCCTCAGCGTGAAAAGACAAAATGCGGATGATTAAGATGGTTGGGCGTCATTTGCTTACCGTACACGTGCGATCTCTCCGCAGTGATTATAAGACCTTTGCTGCATTTACCACAGAGGCATCATCAGTTGGCATTAATTAGGTACATTTTCTGTGAGTTCAATTATTTTTTCACCGTAACACGCCGAAGCAAAATGTGCCTTATTCGTCACTTTTCTTACAAGCTGGAGCCCAATGACAGAATGTCACCATGGCTCTATGAGGGGCGTGCCACGTGATGCCAAAGGGGACTAGCTTTCCAGCACAGACCAGCCTGCGCCGGCGAGTCCGGGCACCGCGCGTACGATGATGGCGCCACGACCGGAGGACATTGTAACATCCAGCTAACATATCACCCGGTAGGCGTCGCCACTGGACAGACACATGAGGACCATCGACGATTTACTGGCTAGTTAACAAAATTAGCGTAGTAGCGTGGCCGGCAGGGGCACTCCAATTCCCATTAATGGCTACAAGCTTCGAGAGTTGGTATTTGGAAACTAAAATTTGTCACACGTAAAATATAGGTACTGAGTCAGGCACCGATCTTTTGAGCTAGGAGAGAGTAACATCGAGGCTGAGAGACGAGCTACTGTTTGGCCGATGCAGTTATTGTTGTAGCTGACGAGAGGGAAGCAATAGACTTCGGGGATTGTTCTGACATCAATCGCGGTACGTTTAACATTTGCACTTAATAGTTACATACTGGTGATTGGTGAACCGGGCGCGGGTGGAGAGGTCGGGCGGCGGGTCTGTGGCGCTACGTAATGGCCATCCTGGCTCCTTATTTAACCATTCGGACTGTCCCCGGGCGCAGCCTCCGCGGACGCAGGCACCCACCTGGAGTCGAACTTGGGCAGGCAGATGGGGATCCAGCCCTCGACCGTCTTGAAGGACTCTGTGGAGGTGACGATGTTGCAGACGATGTGGTAGTCGGTGGGGTGCAGGTAGTGGGAGCGTATCCGCACCAGGCTGATCAGACGGTCGCCGCTGATCAGCAGCGCAAACACCAGGTCCTGCGCGACGGAGTCGGGGGCCGGTGGCGGTTCCACAGTCCACACACACCAACTCTGAACTAAAAGCTTATAAAGGCGGACCTCAGCTCCCTAAGACCATAAACTTATAACGGCGGATACCAGTTCCTCAGTGCATCAGCAAATAAAATTCAATACCAATTGTAATAATCATGCACAACGATCCAATCTTATCTAATATTGCCCACTGATATTATGAAAGCCGAATCGGCGTTCATAAAGTACGCAATAACATGAAACTACCTCGATAGTCCATATGAGATGAGGGACGGATCGTTTACAGGGTATTCTCGCACAAACTAGCTCCTCCTAGTCCTGTCCCTACTGTCGCGCCGTCGCTCCGTCGCCGTACCTTGATTTTGGAGCAGACGGACTGGACGGCCGACACGACGGCGTCCCGAGCGGCCTGCTCGAGCCGCAGACACTGGACCGCCTGCAGCAGGTAGTCGGGTCGCGCGTCCACCGCCGCCACCAGCTGGTCCAGGAACCGCTCCGCGCCCGACACCAGCTTCCGAAAGTCGAAATTGCGCCGCTGCTCGCTGATCCGCGTCAGCTGCGACTTCGTCACCACCGACAGGATCTGGTAGTAGACGTGGCTGAAACACACCGACAGGATCTGGTACCTAATACATGTGACTGAGAAACACTAACAGGATTTCGTAGCACACGTGACTGAAACATACAGATAGGCAGGGGTGCGGAGCCGGAGCCAGAGCTGGAGCCGGAGCCGCCGGAGCCGGCATATTTTGCCCGGAGCCGGAGCCGATTTTTTTATCCGGAGCCGGAGCCGTCTGAAATTTCCACGGTTCCGCATCACTGCAGATAGGATTTAGTATTGTAGGTGGCTAAGACTATCCCAGTCTGATACCGGGTTATGCAGCAGCTCCACGAAATCACCGGACTATCCGACTCACAACGGGAGCACGTTGAGCCGGTGTAACTCATAAGAGCTGCACGTTGAGCCGGTGTAACTCACAAGAGCTGCACGTTGAGCCGGTGTAACTCATAAGAGCTGCACGTTGAGCCGGTGTAACTCACAAGAGCTGCACGTTGAGCCGGTGTAACTCAAGAGCTGCACGTTGAGCTGGTGTAACTCACAAGAGCTGCACGTTGAGCCGGTGTAACTCACAAGAGCTGCACGTTGAGCCGGTGTAACTCACAAGGGCTGCACGTTAAGCTGGTATAACTCACAAGAGCTGCACGTTGAGCCGGTGTAACTCAAGAGCTGCACGTTGAGCTGGTATAACTCACAAGAGCTGCATGTTGAGCTGGTATAACTCACAAGAGCTGCACGCTGAGCCGGTGTAACTCACAAGAGCTGTACGTTGAGCCGGTATAACTCACAAGAGCAGCACGTTGAGCCGGCGTAACTCACAAGAGCTGCACGTTGAGCTGGTGCACGTTCTCCGGGCCGCGCGAGACGGCCACCAGAATGAGAGGCGGCCGGCTGAGGAAGGCGATGGTGCGGTCGCCGGTGCGCAGCGCGCGCAGGCTGTCCCCCGAGTCCTGCACGAACGAGACGAGCGCCTGCATCACGCCCGAGAGCGTCACCAGCTGCTCCTCGCTGCCGTGCCTGCAACGGCGGACACCGTCAGTAGCGGGGGCGCGATCAGCAGCGGGGGCACGGTCAGTAGCGGGGGCGCGGTACACAACGGCGGACACCGTCAACAAGGGGGGGGGGGGTCAGCAGCGGGGGTACAGGCAACAGCGGGGGTACGGCTAGTAACGGCCGCACGGTCAGCGGCAGTCTGGACGGTTAGCAATGGCCGAGGCGGCCAGCAACGGTGGAGGACGGCCAGTGACGGCCGCAAAATCGTCCAGTTACCCCAGATGTTTAAATTTCAACGGTAAATAGTGCAAGCTAATTATACCGACGCTTAAAATTTCAAGCAAAATAACACGATGAGAATAAATGTAGATAAGCATATTTAAAGACAAAGGCATACCTCGAGTAGACAGGTTTGCCGGACTCGCTGAGCACAAAGATGTGTTTCTGCTGGTCCTTCCACTCGAGTGTGGCGGTGATGTCGCCGTCGCCGTCGGTGGCGTCCTCGCCGCCGGCCGCCGCGCCGCCGCCGCTGCCACTGGAGCCGGAGGTAGCCGCCGACTTTACCGAGGCGGCGTCCAGGTGCACTCCGTTCAGCCGCTCCTCCACGGCCTGGGCGCAGTCCCAATCGTCACACACGCACCAGAGAGGGACAGCGACCTGACTGTCACCGGCCCGACCGTCACACACGCACCTGAGAGGGACAGCGACCCGACTGTCACCGGCCCGACCGTCACACACGCCAGAAGGGCACACTGGGCCCGAAATATAAATTACGTGCTTTAGTACCAATATACCATGAATGCTGATGAATCAGCCAGGAGGAGCCAATGCTAAGTGGGTCTCAACTCTCAGCTGTGTCTTTACAGCTGACTTCAGCTGGCAGTGGCTGCTTCCACCTAGACCTATCCATCATGGATGATCCCCATCAGGAGACTCATATAAAGCATGAGAACCATTTGAACCCAGAGGGCTGTTCACGGGCCCTGTGTGCGGTCGGACCGCACACAGCCTCGAAGCTCCGCCCACTTCGTCCCTACGTCAGCCTTCCGTCACCGCACACAGCGATCGCTGTGGCCGGTCGGGACTGGCCACAGCGGACCGTCCACCGCACGCAGCCGTGACGTCAGAACCGCCTACCCATCCCCTACCCCCACGCCTGCTGGACGCACCGCACACACCGCACGCAGCAGTGTGCGGTGCCCGTGAACACCCCTAGGGCTCTCACCACCACAAGTCCAACATTCTGCCAGCTGAACTAAATGACATTTTAAGCAATTTCTTACATAGGCATTCCCTGCAGCTAGCAGCGTAATATTGCTCCATCCCCAGCCAGCTTAGTAAATCTTCTCCACCGGCCATCCAGCATATGAGCTTACCTCTGAGTCGCCGGAGCGGCCACTGTCGAGGAGGCGCCCATCGGCTGGTCCGGGGCGGCACTGGCCCACCGGCAACCGATACTCATCATCAGTCTCGGGCTCAGAGGTAACCAGCATAGAGTCCAGATAGGCACCTGGTTCCAGGCTGCGTGACACATCCTCTGCAATTGGCACTCTGTCCCCCCAATCAGGACACGTCATATAACGTTCACTACCAGCCGCCATCGCTCCCTGATCCTCTGTCACAGCTGAAGACAGGGATGCCCCTGCAGTTGTGGCAGATGGTTTGCCTGGTGTTTCTACTGTTTCTTGAGCTTGTGCTGCGGCTGCTACTGTGACACTGCGATCTTCTCCAAACTGAGGGCAGAAGAAAACATGATAATGATCATGATGCAAGGTGGTGGTCATGGTGCAAAATTGGAACCATAAAAATGTGCATGGGATGACAGTGATACGTCAAGCCTCAGCATAGCTAACCATCAGGTGTCTCACTTACTACTAGAAAAAATATAAATAAAAATACCTAATGTCTATCCCTGGTGAACCAGCTCTATTGACAAGCATGACAGCGACATCTCAAGCATGGTATATAAAAAACACCATCTGCAGCAAGTAATAGACGAAGCCATAGATATATCATATAAACACATATTTGTATACTGTACAAAAGACATTAGATACCTACATGATTTTTTATCTATGAAGTCGACGAAGTGACAAAGCTTTGCTTCGACTTCCCATTTCATTCTTATGAGTGACGTCATGAAAAAGTGACAAAGTTTACGATATTTTTGAAAGTTTTGCTCCAAAACATTCAGCAAATGTAGTTATTTATCTATTCACATAACTTGTTTTACATATTGATGCAGGACAATTGCTTGATTTTCCAAATTTTGCATTTAATATCGTAAACAAGTCAAAAGCCTTGCACTCAACTGATGACGTAAATAAAAAACAAGTCTTAATTAGAAGACTAGAACATAAATATCAGCAAAAATAATTTTTGCTTTTGTGCAAGGCCCTAAATATACTTTTGTGTTTGTGAATTGTGTTTGTAGGTATAATTCAATATTTTGAGCCTGTTTGTACGATTTTATGCTATGAAAGGATACATGTAACCTTAAACTTCAATTTTGAAGTCTAACTACCAGTACCTCCTATGATTTATTTTTGCTGAATGAGTTTTTGATGGTTGGGGAAGGGGATACTGATACTGTGGAATGTTTGAATGTTGTGCACTTCAATTATTGTTAAAATGCTGATTATACTGTCTGGTCTGCTGGTTTTATACCAGCTTAATCACTCACCAGTCACCATCTGTCCATAGTTTTTATTTCTTTCCTTTCCTGCGAAGCATGACATTCTTAAGAGATTTAATTCAAGCTCATGTTGGTCATTGGTGCGGGTTGCGGAACTCAGCTGGTGTTTGACGTGCAGTGTGAATAAAATATGGTGTGCGTATCAATATGTCAGTTTGTCACCCTAGTTTCTAGGGCTTGTTGACTGTGCTGCCAATTTGACATCTGTTGCAGTCTCGTTCTATCCTTCACAATTCATCCTACTTTTACTTGTAATTTGTATCCATTTAGAAAAAGTCTCATGCTCTTCCTCCACCTTTGGGTAGAAGGTTGTTAGAAGCATTGCTCCCCTGAGGCCCTGCTCAGACCAGACCAAGGCTATATAAACCAGACTCCTACACTCCTAGACCAGCTCGTGCGCAGTTCTGCAGGGATCAGCAGCCTGGGGAATAGACAGCACTGGAAGTCAAACCTGGGCTCTGTTTCATAACCAAGTATTGGCACTTCACTTATATGTAAACACCACAGGCACAGGGGCACTGTAGACGATAAATTAACTATTAATCCTATCAGCTAGTTGTTGCTGTTTTTATTCTAATGTTCTTTTTACATTTGGCGAGATTAAACTTGAGAGACACCTAAGTGAAGACACTTATAGGCTTAGAATGAGCCATTAAACTATCCAGGCTGATTCCCAACACTAGATAAATGCCATGTCACTAGTTCTAACTCTCAAGATTTTCAGTAATTTGGATTACCTTAACACTCGCTCCAAAGTCCAATTCATGCCATCCTTTGTCATCTCCAAATTGTGCATACTGATGAAGTAAGATAGCTTTAAAGAAGATGAGATAAATAAGGCTGAGAGAAGTAAGTTGAAGATATAATAATGCCAGTGTGTGCAGTCGCCAGTCACAGTGAGAGAGGTTGGCTGCCTATAATGTAGGTGAAATTAAGCTGAAACTTTCTATATGTGGGAGGGTTCTGTGGTGCCGCCCTGACCTGTCTCTGGGCCCCTCCCAGGCTCTCTGTGGTGTGGGAAGACTCTCTGATGCCACCCTGATCAGTCTCTGCGCCCGCCCAGGCTCTTTTTGGTGCGGCAGCCGCTGTGGGAGGACTCTCTTGTGCCGCCCTGACCAGTCTCTGTTCCCCGCCCAGGCTCTCTATGGTGTGGCAGCCGCTGTGGGAGGGCTCTCTGGTGCCGCCCTGACCAGTCTCTGTGCCCGCCCAGGCTCTGTGGTATTGGAGGTCCCTCTGGTGCAACCCTAACCTGTCTCTGTGTCCCGCCCAGGCTCTCTGTGGTGTGGGAGGACTCTCTTGTGCCGCCCTGACCAGTCTGTTCCCCGCCCAGGCTCTCTATGGTGTGGCAGCCGCTGTGGGAGGGCTCGCTGGTGCCGCCCTGACCTGTCTCTGTGCCCGCCCAGGCTCTCTATGGTGTGGCAGCCGCTGTGGGAAGGCTCGCTGGTGGTGCTCCAGTGGCTGGCCGCCCTGACCTGTCTTTGTTCCCCGCCCAGGCTCTCTATGGTGTGACAGCCGCTGTGGGAGGGCTCGCTGGTGTTGTTCCAGTGGCTGGCCGCCCTGATCAGTCTCTGTGTCCCTCCCAGGCTCTCTATGGTGTGGCAGCCGCTGTGGGAGGGCTCGCTGGTGGTGCTCCAGTGGCTGGCCGCCCTGCTCACTGACGTCTCGGACAGCGCCGCCGCCGCTCTGAACAGCTCTCGGCCGCTGGTGAGCGAGGCCCTGCAGCGCGCCGGCGGCCTGGTGCCGTGGCCCGACCTGGGCCTGCCCGAGCTCGACGCGTTCCAGGCCAACCTACTGCTGGCCATCGGCGGCATACTGGTGACCAACGTGCTGCTTGTCTACCTGGCCTGGTCGCGCTACGGCGAGCGCATCGTGGAGCACTTTACCTCGGCCGACGGTGGGTGCCGGCCCGGCCGGCGACGGTGGGTGCCGGTGGGTGCCCCTTCCCCCGGCACTGCCGGGGGAAGGGGCAGGTCGCTGCCGGGCGGGCAGGGGGGGGGGGGCTCCGCCACCCGCTCGGGGCTGGTCCAGCAACGGGCCCGCTCGGCACTCCTCGGACCGGTGTCTGACCGCACGGCCGGTCGCGTTGTGTAGTGGTTATCACATCTGCTTTACACGCAGAAGGTCCTCGGTTCGAACCCGAGCGCGACCAGTTTTGAGTACCCGGTATGGTGGCGTCTGAAAGGAACCCTTTCACGGAGTTGATCGGTTGCCTCGCGACAATCGCGAACATCAATGAGTCCAAGTCCTGTCTGCTTCTCTTTACTCTTTCTCAGTTTCTTTCTTTTCGTGCATAGGTACTAAATTGCTAGTGGGTGCTCTATGCAGGTTCGGTTGGCTAATGGCTATGCCTCTGATTATATCTTGATTCACCACCATTCGAGTAGAATCTGATCCCAGGAATGATGGATGCATTTAGGGCGACATGAGCTTTGTCGAATAAATAATCTACTGTCTCTAAAAGAGTGTTTGTCATGATTTGTTGTGGCATATTAAGCACGACTTTTGTGCGAAAGGCAAAAATACTGACGTGGTTTGATATCTATTTCAGCCACCAGCAAAGTTCGTGACCTTGGGATGCGTCAGAACCTCCCCAAGGAGTTCACGCCCAAGTTCTGAGGTGCCGACTCCCTCCAAGTCGCCGCAGCACATTGGTCTAACCCCGACGCACGAGGGTAGACCATGGACGCCCTGAAGAAGTTCATCGAGAAGAAAAAGTCTGAGGCCAAGTTCAAGAAGGCCGGCCCGGGCCACCGTCTGTCGGGTGAGCCGGGCGGCGGCAGCGGCGGCGCGCGCGGCTCCTCCTCGGCGCCGGCGCCGCTACCTGAGAGACAGCACCCGTCCAAAGGCTCCCAGCTGGCCGGCGCCGCCGCGCTGGCGCGGCACGAGCAGAAGCAGCAGCAGCAGTCGGCCTCCAGCCGGTCAGTAGTGGGGCAGGGAGACGCGGAAACAGGGTAGGGACTAGGGGGACGGTGCAGACTGGCCCGGCACGAGCAGAAGCAGCAGCAGCAGTCCGCCTCCAGCCGGTCAGTATTGGGGACAGGGCGGTATGGGACAGGGCAGGTGGGACAAGACAGACAGGCCGGGCACGAGCAGAAGCAGCAGCAGCAGTCCGCCTCCAGCCGGTCAGTAGTGGGGGCAGTGCGTGGATATGGGGATAAAACGGGAGGGGCGAGGCCGCGAGGTGGCCGTGGACCTGGCGTGCGAAGGCCCTGTCGGCAGAGGTTGATAAAATAAAATAGGTATGCATGCACCACTGGTGCATACTGGTGCATTCCCATTTTTATTTGTTCTTGATACCAAGTGTGGGCACACGTGGATGCCCTCCCATTGTACTTATTCACTATTCAGTAGCAGCGGCCGTATTGTTTTTGTATGTTGTGTCAATAGCGAGCAGTTTGTGGGCCATATGTGCTGGCTTTAGATCGCCGTCCTCCCATTTTTATATACACTTTTAGCTTTGTCGATCCGGCTCCTGCATTCCGACCACGCCACGTGTTTTCGCCAGCTGCGTGTAGCCCGTCCGTGATGTGCGCCAGCCTTGGTCCGCTCTGTGGGGCTTCTGTTATGTCCTCAAATGTCACTGACAGCCTCCCTACTGGTCATTGTGCTTTGCAAACCCACCCCCCTCCCTGTCTGGGACGGGTAACTGCTACCCTTCTGCCCACGGGTGACTCTTACCCGTCCCATCCTCTCCCATCCGTCTAGTCCCTGACCCCGGTGTTTACCCCACCCCGCCTGACCCCGTCTGACCCCGTCCCACCCCGTCTGACCCTGTCTCATCCCGTCTGACCGCGGTGTCTCCGTCTGACCCGATGTCTCGTCCCACCCCGTCTGATCCCGACCCACCCCATCTGACTGCTCTGGTGTGTCTCGTGGGCAGCTCACTGGCCGTGATCCGGGCCCAGGCGCGGAAGGAGCTGGACGCGGAGCTGGCGGCGGCGGGCGCGGGAGCGGCGGAGGGCGGCGCGGCGCCTCCCGGGCCGCGGGTCACCGAGCTGGAGATGGCGCCCAACCTCGCCGTCAGCGGCGTCTACTACCGGTGCCCCATCATCGGTGGGTGTCGCCGCCGACCGACCGCAGGCCGCAGGAGGCCCCGGGTAACGCCGGGACCGCTGGCGTACAGTGATTATGGTGTCTTCACTCTTCGGAGACTCGACTTTGTAGCGTAAACATATGCGCCCCGCCGAACTAAGGCCTCTGGCACCAAAGTACCTAGCTTGTTAGATTCGTTTTTTTTTTACTTAGTAGTATCCATGTGTTAAATTCGCTTGACTAACTGCTAACGCAAGTATGATGCACCTTAGTATAATTTCTACTCAAATTGCTGAGTGTGAGTTCAGTGCAAGGGACACGATGGAAATCACTATATCCCTAAGTAGTTATTAAGACGCAAGAGACTTCTGGACTCGCACTGATGGCGTTGAAATTAGACACAACACTATTAGCTGCATAGTAACCAGATATAATGACGTGGGCTGGTAGCGAAAATATAACTAAGTTGTTTTGAGCGCTAGGTCGTGATTCGCAACGCACGCCACTAAGTTTGACAGCTACTCGTATAGCGTTTATTCCCCCGCCGTAGCATCGGCCGCTGACCACCGTCCCTGGTCTGTGCAGGAGGCGAGGTGCTGCCCCGGCCCGAGATCCAGCAGAAGATCAAGCTGTTCCTGTACGAGCAGCTGGCCGAGGACGGCGGTATCGCCGCCTGCCTCATCATCCACTCGTGTAACGCCAACCGGGAGAAGGTGGGTGGGCGCTGGGCGGGGCCGGCTCGGGTCACCGTGCCGCCGCGCCCCGCACGCGTGTGTGTGTGTGTGTGTGGGGGGGGGGGGCTCCACCGGCAGGCAGCGAGGAGTGTCACCGCTCACCGGCTCTAGTCTGCCGGCCGCGGTGACTCACTTGACGCCTCCGCTGGCAGGTCGTGAGTCCGGCTCTCACCTCAGAGTCACTACTGCCGTAGGGGTAGAGGCCGTAACAACAGAGTCACATATAGTGAGGAGCACCGGGCCACTCACCTGGTCACAGGTGCAGCAGACCGAGCGGCCGCAGTGGGGAGGCGCTGGACCCCGGGGAGGAGTGTCATGTACCTGGCCAGAGGCTCGGTACGCCGAGCGGTCGCACGAAGGGTATTTGGGGGATACTAGGGCGTCGCTCACCTGGCCAGCGGCACAGCAGTCCGAGCAGCCGCAGCACCTGAGCCTCCTACAGACCGAGTGGATCCAGCGGCACAGGCGGCTGTCGGTGGACGGCTTCATCCCACGCCCGCGAGCTGAGCCTCGCTCGGCCGCTCGGCGCTCTGCCCCGCCGCTCCGGGCTCTGCAGTGTCGGCCGTCTGTCCGTCTGCCGCGTCTGGCCTGTGCGTGTCACCACCCTCCCGATCCGTCAGCAGCGGATTGACTCTGCCCGACTGGCCGTCTCTGTCCGCCGGAGCTGGTCCGTCGGGAGCCGGCTGTTCCCTCGCTCCTCTCGATTCACTCTGTCTGCCGGGAGCTGGCTGTTCTCGCCCCTGTTGACTTTCGATGGTCCGTCAGGAGAGGATCGTTATGTCTTCCTGTGTTATATCACTGAGCGATTGTCTCTGTATGCTAGGTTCTGGGTGTTCTCGCTCCCCTCGATCCCTTCTGCCTGTCTGGAGCCGGCTGGTGCTCCCAGCTGACAGTGGCGCAGTCGGTCAGCTCTAACACAGTGGTCTTTGGTCCGTCAGTCGTCGCACTGCTGCCCGCTCCAGACTGACAGTCGGCTGCTGGGAGGTCGGTGGTGCAGAACACGTAGCACCCGGTACTAAGTCCGACACTGAGCTGAACGGGGAGTCTGTGAGCCAGCTCTTTACACACGTTGTCACTGAGTTGGGCACTTAGTTGGTGGACTAGCCCTTTACTGAGCTCGTCACCGAGACCCTTACTGAGACTGGCACTGAGACTGGCACTGATTCCGGCAGAGACTTCCTTAGTATGGCACTGAGACCGTCACTTACACCGTCACCGAGCCCTGCACTGAGTTCGGCAGGGACTCTCTGAGACCGTCAACTGGCTGCGTCACTGATCCCTTGATCGGCTGGCCTTTTTAGCGGTGCAGAGTACAGCTGCGGTGAAGGTGTCGGCGGCACGGCAGTGGGGGAGGGGGGAGGGCTGTAACCACACCATGAAGGGATCGCAGACGGGGGAGAAGGGAGGGGGGAGGGTGCACAGGTGCTAGTTGACCCAGTCACCAGGCCCAGACATATTCATAGAAGGGCTGCTCCATTTTTTTCCTGCCCCGACCCCGTTGTTCGCTAGCCGCTGCAGTACCATCGCTTTAACGTTGTCGATAAAATGAGGGCACTTTTATCGATGATAACCTGGGCAATTGAAGGTGCAGTCTGCGAGTTACACGTGTGTGACTGCGCCCTTTTCATCGGCCGGCCTTTGGCTGTCGTTGGGTGTTATGTGTCTGACAGACCAGCTGTCAGCTCTGTGTGACAAACCGTCTGTCAGCTCTGTGTGACAAACCGTCTGTCAGCAGGTGTCACAGGGGACGGGGTACGCAGACTTTTGTCCTGTCTGTGTACAGTTGTGCGGCGCGCGAAATTACTCCCGGGAGAATAAGTAATGAATTGTTTATTTGCCTATTATTTGTCAGCGTCTTTATTTTCGACGGGAAGGAAAACACCAATTTTCCCAACACGTTGTTCTGAATATCGTGACGAAGATAAGGAACAATCGGGGAACCTTGATGAATGTTTTTCGCCCAGGTCGACCCAAAATGATAATGTGACACGGTAATTGAGTATTGTATATTGTATTAGCGAAGCATTCCAATGATGGATTAGTGTCAGCTTCTAGTCAATGACAATAGTAAAAACATATAAAACACAAGCACACACACGCATACACATTGTACTAAAATACCAAAACGCTAGTCACATGTCGAGTTTAAAAGTCGTAAAAACTCCGCTCTAGTTCGAGAGCCGGTGGTGGCAGGCGGCAGGCGATTCCAGGACGAGGCCGCTCGGTACGACAAGGCCCGGCGCGACATAGACAGCCGGTAAGCCGGCAGCTCCAGTACACCGGCACACGTTGCCCGCGTTGAGCGCTGCGACACAGCGGCTCGCCGAGTGAATAGGGAGCGGATCGCCTCCGGAGCGCAAGGGTCACTCAGCGCCCTGAACACAGTGGAGCAGTCACGGTGGACGACAAGATCAGCAATGTCATGCCAGCCGAGGGCTCTCAACACCGGTGAAATATGTTCAGAAACCCGCGCTCCGGAGACGACCCTAGCACCAAAATTCAGGATCTTCTGCACCTTATGTAAATGACAGCGAGCGGCCCCGCCCCAGACGGAGAGGCAGTAAAGGATGTGGGGGAAAATATGGCACTGGATAAGGAGCTTACGGGTCTCGGGGGTAAGATGATGACGAATTTTATACAAACATAGAAGGATGGAATTGCACTTTTTGACAACATTTGAAATGTGCTTTTCCCAGGATAGGGTTGAGTCGACCGTCACTCCCAGCATCTTCACAAAAGGGGATGGTTGTAGTGTGTGACCGGATATGGTAAGGGAAAAGGATGAGGTTTTCTTGAGGTTCTGGCCAGTACCCACAAGAAGCAGGGTGGTCTTACTAGGATTCATTTTCAAGGAATTGGATGTGTAATAGGACTGGACAGCGAGCAAGGTGTCTTCCTGTTGTTTTTTAAGGACAGGTAAGTCAGTGGGAAAAGCGGAATCGAGGAGTTGGGTATCGTCTGCATAGGAAATGAGCCGTCCATGAGGAAGGTAGGAAGGTAGGTCATTTGTGAAGATGCTGAAGAGGATTGGGCCGACCAGGGAGCCCTGCGGAACGCCATGGGACATAGGAAGGGATAGGGAGCCGCCTCTCACCACCTGCCGCCGGCCACCGAGGTAACTCGCGAACCACCCGGGGTCAACACCGTACCAGCTCAACTTGGACAATAAAATACCATGGTCAACACTATCAAAGGCGCGACTGAGGTCCACCGACGTGATGGCAACAATGTGACCCTTGTCGACGCGGCGCGTCGACATATGTTGAAGTTGTCACTTGACACTGGTCAAGTGGTCAGTGAACGTTATAAACTTAATTGCGGTACCTTAAAATAGAAATGTCCATTGGATTACCCAGTTGCTTCATTTTGTGTCTATTTTTATTCGATTGGTAGAAATTGGTATGCTATGCAGTTGTTTGGTTGAGCCGTGAGCGTTACATATGAATAGTTGCATGATCTTACGCTGGGCATCAAAGAATAATGGCATTGAAATGCGGCAGCGTTCTCTCATATTTGCGGTTCGGTATCGGTACTGTTGCCCGGTATCGGTACTGTTGTCCGGTATCGGTATTGTTGTTCGGTACCGGTACCGCTGCCCGGTATCGGCACCGTTGCCCGGTATCGGTACCGTTGCCCTCCACCACTGCCAACACCACTGAGGTAGATCGTCACCTCTCCCGTCCCCAGCGCTGTCCGTCGCCCGCTGACCGCCGACCGTCGCCCGCTGACTCGCTGACCGCTAACCGCCGCCGTTCGCCGGCAGGTGCAGACGGGCGTGGAGACGCTGTGCAAATACATGGAGAACATCCTGTCCGCGCCGGCCGAGGAAAAGTTCCGCAAGATCCGACAGTCGAACAAGGCGTACACCGAGCGCGTGGCGCCGCTGGAGGGCGCCGCCGAGCTCCTGGCCGCCGCCGGCTTCCAGAGCACCCAGCTACCGCACGGCGACGGCACGGAGACGTTCTGGGTGTTCCCGCCCGACGGCGACCTCGACAAACTGCAGGTGGGGCGCGCGGAGTGGACGTGGTCAGGTACAGAGGGAGGACGCGGTGGTCAGAGTGTCAGTCGGTGACACTAGCAGCGCTGGTATGACGGCTAGTGGCGGCATTTCTCCCATCAGCTGTTCCGTGGCGCGCTCGTCAAAATCTGCAGTGTGTGACGCCTCCGTCGTCTGCTGCCTGACGCGCTGAGTGTGACGCGTCCCGCCTCCGTCAGATGTTCCGCGACGCGCTGGTCAGCGCCGAGCCCATTGTTCCGGAGCTGGACAGGAACGCCCGCGCCCTGATGCCGGCGCAGGCGGCCCGCCAGGTGGCTCTGCCGGCCGACTTTTTCGCCATCTCCCAGGAGGAGCTCAAACGCGAGCAGCAGCTCAGGTGAGGCTAAAATCGCCGTGGGGTGGGAACTGCGCTCTTTGTGTCGGACGCGGCTCAGCTCGGATTTTAGGACCGCATCATTCTGCTGGCTGCCGCCCATGTAACATGCAAGGGGGCGTTTGAAAGATACATAGAAGTGAATGTATGATGATTACACCGGACGTGGCCGAGACCCTGACGCTGTATTCCTCTTTGTGACCCCCGTCGGCTCGGCAGGTCGGAGGTGGTCGAGAACATGACACTGCTGCAGACCAAGGCGATGCGCGAGCGGGCCGAGCAGCGCGAGCTGAGAAAGTACCGCTTCTGCCTGGTACGGGTCCGCTTCCCAGACGCCATCACTCTGCAGGTGGGTCCCGGCGGACGGGGTAGGACGAGAGGGGACCGGACTGTTATCATTATGCTGCTATGAGGGGACCGGACTGGACCGGACCGGACCGGACCGGACCGGACCGGGCTGGACCGGACTGGACCGGACCGGACCGGACCGGACCGGACCGGACCGGGCTGGACCGGACTGGACCGGACTGGACTGGATCGGACCGGACCGGACCGGACTGGACTGGGCTGGGCTGGGCTGGGCTGGGCTGGGCACTGGGCAGGGCAGGGCAGGGCTGGGCTGGGCTGGGCTGGGCTGGGCTGGGCTGGGCTGGGCTGGGCTGGGCTGGGCTGGGCTGGACTGGGCTGGGCTGGACTGGGCTGGATGGGAGAGGAGGGAAAGAGACGGGAGGGACGGGACGGAAGGGAACGGACGGGACGGGTTAGCTCGGAACCACGGACGGGACGGAATGGGACGGAGGGAACGTTGCTGATACTGTGAATACACGGCCTTTATACGATTGGGCCCAGGTCCAGTCAAGTAGTGTGGCGGCGACCGGGTCGACGTTCACTGTCATCAGCGCCCACTCTTGGGTCGAGTCAGGTGATGTGGATGTGTTCGGTCCTGTGGGCGTCCAGGACTCCTGCAGTCTGACGTCCAACTGGAGATGGGACGCTGAGGGGGTGAGGCAGGACGGGCGGGACGGACGGGACGGGGACGGCCGGTGGCGGCACAGGAAAGACAGAACTTTGCGGCACCCTCAGCCGTATGGAGAGTTGAACTGTGGGGGGGGGGGGGGGGGCTTTTACACAGCGATGACCGGCAATGATGAGACAGCCCGCCCTGCATCTGCTGTCTGGAGGCAGGTTTGCTGTTTTTGCTGACATGGTCTGACACGGTTATGAGATTTTTCCTACGGATTTTATCATGCGAAATTTTGAAGGACGAACAAGTCACGCTTGTTGCCTGACAAACTTCGTTCAGATGTTCCTGGACAGTTTTCCTATTTGTGAACGTTTACTGGCATCCGGCTGGATGTTAATGATAACGATTTTTTTGGCTGGGCTTCGTGAGCATTTTACGTTGCTCAGCCAGCATTTTCAGTCCTATCATTTTCTTTCGGTATAATTGACTAGTAAGTGACAGTCGCTTTCAGTTGCTTTCACGAAGACAAGAGCAAACATATGTTTAGATTACAACAGTTTTAACTTTTATTGTGGTGTGTAATTTGCTGCTTTTAAATGAGCAAATCACACTTCACTACTTGAAAAAGTCATATTATAGTACATTATGCAGTTGTGCTGTCTCATTAGCTTCAGGTAACATTACTTTTATGGTCCTTAATGCTGTCTTGAATGTTTGTGGTAGGCAGTTAAAGTTTTATTGTAAAGTAACGGTTCAGCTCTTGAACGAAAAACAATTTTGGTCATGCTTTGTCTCTTCCTAACGTATAACTAGCACTTCAATCAGGCCCAAAAGAAAATAATCCATTAAAGCTGTATGCATTAACTATCAATGAGTGCATTTAGCTACGGTGTTTGAGCCTACATGGCTTAAATTTTCAGCTGCCAATTTTTGCTTCATTAGATAGTAGATATTCTATCATAAGCTCATTTTTACGGACTCCAGTCTTGTATCACGAGCTGGTTCATTTCAGATGTGGCGCTATGCTTTGCTAGTCCGATGTCATCCGTCTATGCGTTCAGACCGCGCTTATCCCACACACTGTGTGTTCTGACCGCTGGTCCACGCACCCCCTGCTTTCTGACCGCTGCCTCACTGTGTGTTCTGACCGCTGGTCCCCCACACTGTGTGTTCTGACTGCTGCTCTGCGCCTCTCCCTCCGGCAGGGTACATTCCGTGTGACGGAGCGCGTGTCGGCCGTGTACACGTTCGTGCGCGAGAATCTAGTCCGGCCGTCGGAGGCGTTCGAGCTGCTCACGCCCACCGGCCACCCGTTGGACGCCGACGACCAAAGCACCCTGGCCGAGGCCAAGCTGGTGCCCTCTGTGCTGCTCACCTGGCAGCTCAAGTCGGGCGCCGCGCCGCCAGGCGGCAGCACCGGCGCCTTCCTGGTGCCAGAGCTGATGGAGACCATCTCTGAGCTGGGCTGAGTGGTCAGTGGTCACTGCCGAGCTCGGCTGAGCGGTCACTGCCGAGCTGGGCTGAGCGACATCAGCAGTCACGGCCGAGCTCAGCTGAGCGGCATCAGCAGTCACTGCCGACCTCGGCTGAGCTCGGGGCTCGGTCAGCTGAGCTGTGTGCAAGCCAGCTGGGCTGAGCTGAGCTCCTGGCGGGTGCTGGGCTGGTCAGAGCTCCGAGTCAGGTCAGCTGAGCTCCGTGCCGGGTCAGCTGAGCTGGGCCGAGCTCCGGGCTGGGTCGGCTGAGCTGGTCAGAGCTCTGAGTCAGGTCAGCTGGCCGGGCTGAGCTCCGGGGCAGTCACTGAGTGATACACTGTGGACCGGCCGGTCTGTACGGCCGCCCGGGGCATTAGGTGTCGTGTCGGTGACCCCACGTCTGTTCCCACCGGGCCGCGGGTGCGGCGCACTGCCGGGAGGGCTACCTGTGGCTCCACAGTCACGCCACGCCATAGTCATCTACCCATGCAAGCTGGATGTTGTATTTTTGTGTTGCATATCGACCGGTGTGGGCCGGCTGCGCTGAATGGCCTGCCTCTCTTCCAATGGGGCGTGCCCGCCCGCGCAGTGCAGCTGTTCTGTGACTTGTTGTGGCCACGCATAAATATATTATCGGTTACGCGTGATCGATGTTTTTAATCTACGTTGTCGAGTCGATGGTAACCGTATCCATGCTACAGAAACCCCATCCGTGTGGCGACAATCCGCCGTCGATTTAACTGAATGTCCTCCAGAATCCATTCCAGATATATGACATGGTGATATGGACCCTTATTAGCAAAGTGACTGCTTGATGACACAGGTCAGTGTACAAAAACCAAAAACCAAAAACCAATTTCAAGCCGGTCCCGTACATAGTTTAGTAGGTAGACCGTTGGACTCCGCGTGGTGAGAGCACGCGTTCCCGGTTACAACAGTCCGGGTTCGAAGCGCGACGGGCGCTTGACGTTTATGGGCCTCCTGACAGGTATGGTTGCGGTTGGTGGCAGGCCGTAGGCAGGCGAAGTCAGTGAGGGGACCGGCCGTGCGCGGCTATGTGCGCACGTCAAACTTTGGACTCTAAACTCTGCCATAGAGCCGGGATTTCGCGATCGGAGGGTAGAGGGCAGGGTCAACGCAACACGCTTCGCTTAGCGCTGGCTCTGTGCTTGTGAATCCTTCCAATCAAAAAGGTTCGGACTAAATTCATTAAAAAAAAAATGTGGATGGAAGGGAGCCGGACTTGGCGATCAGAAACCATACGAACTCTAAGACTGCTACGGCAAACTGGCTAACCGGGATTGAGCCATATCGACCCAAACCCCTGTTCCGACGGCGTTCCGTTTATACCGGCCCAAAGCTGGCATGTCTGAGTTGCTGGGGCAAAACGGACTCGAGCAAGACCAAATTGCTGGGCCATGGTGAGCCGTTTCGAGTCCGACTGTCTGTTTACCTATCACGAGAAGAGGGCCGTTTGAGTCTGGGGTCTTTGAGTATTTTGGATGCTCTGAAATGCATGTGTGGTCTCTACAACTGTCGCCTCATCTCGAGATTTTTGGGACCGAACTTCAGCGCTTGGTGGATGCGGTTGCTCCTATCGAAGCTTTGGCTTCCTGTCCAGGATCTGAGACGGTCAATACAGAGCTGAACCTCAGTTTAGGTTTTGTAATCTTTCCAATATGCCAAGAAGCGGGGACTATCCCACCTTCAAAAAAGTCCCGTTTAGGATTCGAAAATGTTACTCAGGGTCTTGTGACGAATTCTGCAAGTTTTTACGCGTTTTCATACTCTACTTTTTTAGATATTGCGATTTTTATATTTCATCGTGACGTCATTCAGATCGAATCTGTGACGTAATGAAGGATTTACTTCATGCCAATGAGGGGGGAAATTTGGCAGCAAATATATTTGCTTTCAAATATGACGCGGCTCAAACAATAACAAAAGTGTCTCTGATTAGGCGGAAAAAACGAGCGTGTTGCCCGTCACGAGACGAAGCCGATGATACCCAATTTTAAGGTCCTAGGTCATCGGGTGACCTTCCAGGTCAGGTCAATGACCCGAAAACCGGGAAAATCGGGACCTGTTAGAAAGTCGTAAATTGTGGCTGCTATGTGGTTTTCCGGGGTGCTGATCACGAATATCGTGTTAGTTTTGATCAGAGATGATGTCTTGAAGCATTTAGACCAGGTCGGGTCAGGTCAGGTCAGGTCAACCGGTAGGGGTTGTGACGGGTATTCGTAATACGTGTCAACCGCCTCTGACAGTTTCGTAACATGTTACGAAGGCACCAAAACTACTTCGTAAATGTTCAAATGGTTGCCAAATTCGAATTCAGCTCCAAAAACTAGCCCAGAAACATGTAAAACTCGAAAAAGTGAACCGAGGTCACCCGAGGTCACCAAAGGTCAGTGACCTGACCTGACCTTCAGGTGACCTTGACACCCACCCTAATGTATGGGAGCGACATCAAATCACATGTTTGAACGTTTGAAACCACAAAAAGCTTGCAAACGCGCGGCTAATGTTAGCCGACATACGCCGAATCGCGATTCCGGCCAAACATGGTCTCGGAAAAGAGGTCACAGGTCAAAGGTCATTGGGGTCAGGGTCATGAAATTTTCAGGGTAGGTGTAAAATTGATCAATGCGAGGGTACTGAAAGTTTCGTCGCGATCGGCCGCTTTTTACGCGAGTTATTCGCGAAAAACCTTAGGGGGGGGCTGCATCAACCCCCCCCCCTGTGCCGGCGAGGGTGCGTTTTGCCCCTATTATAGTAGAGCTGGAAAATGTGTTGTCTCGGATGAGTGGCGCGGGGCAGAGCGAATAGCTCGTATACCTACTCGTATAGTTCCATAAGCTGCTTCAACATGGACAACAAACGTTATTGATTTTGAAGTGTATCGCTATGCGTTCATCTCAGCCACTTTTCGATTACCTACCTACATAAGTTACCCTTTTAATGCAATTCAATGTTTTTCCATCAATTGTCTTGCATTGTTTACCTAATACCTACATATGAACGATGACAAAATAAACATCCATCCTCTTTTAAACCTGTCTACCATCGAAAACTTTATTCCTACCTGTATCAGGCAACTATCCTGTATCTCATAGGTATTGGGGCAAGAAAGTCACCGGTGTCCGCTTTACCCCGGAGCCTGGGGCAAGGAACCCAATATGCATACCAATATCTCCTATCCTATAGGTACAGCCCACCGCTAAAGTAATGTAGGGTTTTACCAATCTCAACGGTTGGCTTTGACTGGCGATTGTTTAATGCGGAGTGATCGAAAAGAAGATGTCAATAGCTAAAGTTGCAGCTGCAAGGGTGACGATACATATAAGCTACATTCAAAGTTTCATTGTAGTCTGGCTAATCGTTCCTAAGCTTCAGAAGCAGAACATACCCATGACTGAAACCCCACATTACTTCTGCTGTGGACTGTACATACGTGGATGCCTTTAGAAATGATAACTGAAACGAAGTTGAAATAAAAGCCAATTTAACCCTCGCCGGCCGAGGGGGGAGGAGAGGGCGGGTGCCCCATAGTTTTTTTTCGCGATAGTTCCGAATACGCTGACGATGGAGAGCTGAAACTTGGCATACTTGACCTTTGATTCAAGCTGGATCTTCTGACACCAACCGCATTTTCGGGTCAGGTCAGGTCATTGACCTATAATTACGTCATAAGTGAACCTCTGCACGGTCTTCAGATGTCGCAACTTCGCAACGCCCTCACTGCCAGAGGAGCTTTCACAGGGAGATGAAACTTTGAGGACCTAGTATCCATTAGGATTCTCACAAGTTGTATACCTATGCAGATTTTTCCTAAAGGTCATATGAGGTCAGGTAATTTTCGTGAACTCACCACCTAAGCCAATGGGAAAAAATGCAAACTGCTATTTTGGCGCCGGGAACGATCTCAAACTATCTCAGTTCTCAACCGCACGGAATCGTGATTTCATGCAATCCTTGCAAGTTTCGATGCTTCACTTTTGCATTGTTGACCTTGCGTGACGTCATTTATGACGTCACTAGGTTCCTAAGAGTTTTTCGTCAATAACTTCTGATCAAATTGAGCTAGCGAGTCGGTAAAGCCACCAATGGACTCGGGAAGACCTGCCGAATCGAATGACATGGGACATGACCTCCTTCGACCAAGTTCATGACCTGGGGGCTCTGACCTGGCCGTGACCCGAGGTCAACACCTATAGTTGACCTCTCCCAAACAAAAAGTATAGGGGAGAGTGGGGAAAGATGCCCAGGGTTTGACTATGTCATATATTATTAAAAAATGACGATCGGAAAGCCAAAACTTGGAGTTTCAACGGAAGCCGACATCATTTTTCTCCAAAAATATCACACTTTCGTGCCTGAAATATGATAACATTTTTTGCTATTAAGCATTTTCCTGAAGAAGTGAAAGGGGGCATCTTACCCCACAGGGTGGGAAAGACGCCCCCTGACGTTGGGTAAGAGGCCCCCTGCACTATAAGTGACATAAATAGGCACGTGAATCGCCTGAACGAATCAGTATTCCCTTCGAGCCTGCAATAGACACTAAACGTCATCGTAAGGGCCCTCAAAAGTAGTCGTAAGGAGCTTCAGAGGTCATCGTTAGGGCCATCATAGTCCAGCGTGGCCAAACAAGCCTCCGTGGTGGCGTTCGGAGACCACTGTGGGGCCCTTATAGGTCTTCACGATGCTTGAGGGGCCTCGAGCCCATCGTGGGGACCTCAGATGCCAGCGCGGCCCGTGGAGCCAACGTGGGAGCCCTCAAATGATGTCGTGAGGGGCCCTGGAACCAATAATGGGGCCCACAGAGGCCGTCTTGATGGCTCTCAGAATCAGATGCCGCCCAAAAAGTCGCTGTGTGGGCCGAGAGACCGGCATGGGGATCACCCGACCGTACCGGACTCTCATTAGTCTCAGATCGGCTTTTGTCTCTCATCACAGGTATGTAATAAATGATTTGACGGGCTGCTTGAAGGACAGCCTACGGATTTAGGGGGGCGTCTTTCCCCATCAGGACAGGGGGCATCTTACCCCAAGGTACCGAAGGAACATTAAATCAGCACAATTTGTTAGCCATAAAACTACACCCTGAAACAAACTGTTTGGAACACAGTACACGCATGTTAATGTATCACGACTATACCAAGGGACGCAAAAGTTATCTACCTTCTTTGATATTTACAATGTTTTGACGCCAAAATATTTTTTGAAAGCAGCAAATAAAAAACATGCAATCACCAGCCAGCCGTTGCCCAACTGAGCTTCGCAAATTTTTGTGCAGTTAACAAGGCAGGCTTCCGCTTTACGCTAAGAACATTAATTTCCAGGTTCGATTCATTGTTTCCCCGCTAGAGGGGGTGGGGCGTCTTTCCCACCCTGGGCATCTTACCCCACTCTCCCCTACCTACCATTCGACGCGCCTGAGCAAGGTGAACACGATGCTGTCAAAATCACGGCTCTGCGATCATTTTTTTGCGAAGTTCTTCGTCCAAAACCGAACCCGTACTTTGGGCCACTTGACCTGACCTCAGAGGTCACCGGTTGACCTGAAACCTTAAAATCCGGTACCAATCTCTGTGTCTCGTAACGTCGCACACGCTCGTTTTTCCGCGACGCTTTAGCTCCATTT